GGACGTTTACGCCTGCTTAGTTCATTCTACACGCTTTTTTATTATTATTTGTCGTTTGTGAATCAGACATTACTAATTACTTCCACATTGCCTTGTAAGATATGTGTTCTTTGTTCATTACAAATGGCGCCTGAAACGACTCGTGTACTGATCACTGCGCCTTAAATATTGAATAGTAATATCCCATATTTTCCCAGCAAGATAACAACATCAATATTGATTGAAATATTGAATTCTAATTCGTGTTTTAAATTTATAATGTTTTTGACAATTATTATTGAATTATAGGTTTATCTCCTTTAAACATACATTATGTAAGAGCTAAATCTGCCTATTGCAGGTTTCTTTCTTTAGGCCTGAAATGTTATATAAACTATTAATCAGACATTTATTAACATGAACAGACCTTAATCAACTCTCGATGCCATCTTATGTGTCTCGATGCCATCTTGATGCCATCTTATGTGTCTTGATGCCATCTTATGTGTCTCGATGCCATCTTGATGCCATCTTATGTGTCTTGATGCCATCTTATGTGTCTCGATGCCATCTTATATGTCTCGATGCCATCTGATGTGTCGGATTTTCACTGGATTTGAATCCGATCTGCTGCTCAACGTTCATTGATGATTAAATCAAAAAAATCGATAATCGAGACTATGTTTTTTTTTATCGTACCGACTTCAGTAATGAAGACCGAGGCTAGGCCTAATATTCTATACACGAGTATTGTTCCATCATATTTGCTAATGAGCATGTTCTAACCCATTACTAGGACTAATTACCGTTAGAGATATCATAATTACAATGTGTGACTTATTAATTAACCCAAATATTATGTTTTTAATTTACTAGAACTATCAGATCATTGCCCTACGACTTTGATAGTTATATTTTAATCCTTGCACTAGAATATCTAGAACTATTATAAATAATCGAAATATTATACTTTCAAATTATTAATATTTTCAGACTAGATATTTTTAAATCTACCCTTTTGCAACGATTTTAATTTTAATTTCAATTCAGGCACCCCAAAAAAACAGAGATGCTAAAATTTCCAGAATTATTCATTCATAGAAATATTATACTTTCAAATGACGAATTTTCAGACCGGATATTTTTAAAACCCACCAATTTGATTATAATTCTGGCACCAATGTTTATCAAACAAATAAAGAGAAGACGCATTATCCTAATCTTTAAATTAAACACGCCGTACGATTTGGATTTTATCTCTAATTCTGACACCAATCTTTAGCCTAAATATGTATTTCATCGGTAGTTGGTGGAATCCTGAATACGTCGCCATCTATTGAAAATCGGCTATATTCTAGAGAGATAGAGGTGGCAGTGATTGGAGGGGGGGGGGGGGTTAGTAACGTCCATTCGACACAAACCAGATCGTTTCGGGGCTAACATATGGTTCAAATTTATTTCAATATTATTTTTTCTTGGGGGGGGGGGGGTATTAGTATTTTATTGAAAATGCAACATTTGTCATCAATATATGGCAAGTTCAAACATTCTTTTATCCCACTTCTGAAATCGCAAAATGCAACAACATTCTTAACGTTTAAAAACACATCGTAGGCCTATCAGAAATCTTGTTTTTAAAATAAATATTATTGGAACATTTTATCAGAAATCTTAAGAAACGACTGTTAAGAAAACATTTTTTCAACAGAAATATTAGAGAACGTGTGCCAACAAGGTATTACTGTAGAACAAAGGTCTGCTCACGGATTGTACGGTATAGATATTTTTTCTTTCCTTGTCATGTGATAGACGTTCGAAAAATGAGAGAGAGAGAGAGAGAGAGAGAGAGAGATGAGGTTTTACGTCCACTCGACATAAACTAGGTCATTTCGGGACTATTATATGGTTTAATTTTATTTCAATAATTCGCTTGCTTGTATTGGTCTTTAGCAGTGGGAGGAAACCGGTGGACCCGAAGAAAACACACGAGGTTGGACAGGCGACCCTACTCCTTGTCACGTACAGCCGAGGAATGGAAACCACGCCAGTTGACTCAATCAACTCTGTAGACCCTCGGATAGCATGGATATTTAAAAATTAAATCAATAAATGGCTGACCAAGCTAACATTTACCGTTAATCACTGACGCCACTACCGGAGACTATCGATGAAAGGATTGACAATCGAGGATACCGTAAGCATTGAGAATGTTACTTGACAATCGAGAATATGTGGGTGGTGTTATCGTCTGTCAGTCAAACGATCGGCAATTCTCGGAGTCGGTGCGGAGACAGTTGATGCCTATTTCTAGTCCAAACTTCTAACGGTGATAATGTCGTTTAGAATGAAGTAATTTGACTGAAATTTTCAGTATTTTCTTTTTTATCATCTATGGCCAACTTTTCATTAAAATCGTAACTAATTTATCTTTAAGAATGGCCAACCCTTTATTAAAATCTTAATCAATGTATCTTTAATACCTTTAGGTTCTTTGGCTTAACAATAAGACTTAGACACTCAACAATAATCCCTATGAAGAACTAATTATATTAATAACTAATATTAATCATGTACCTACCAGAACACGTGGGCTATTAATTTATATAATGAATGGAGGTCATTTAAAGGTCGTGATTGTCAGCAGAATAATATCAAATCGTACGTACTTTAAAAAAGCAGACCCATTCAGTGTTTATCCAAACTCGCGACACTCAAATAAATAGAAGTCATTCATGTGCCTTTGTTTCCCTTTAAATAGTTTTCAACAATTTATACAGCGAGCCAAAGATTTTGTATTCTGTTGGGTTACGGTACACAATTTGACGAATTAAAATCCGCCACAAATTTTGTGTCTCTTGGAGGGGGTTGGGTGGCCGTTTGATCACAAGTTCTGTCATTGAGTCAAGCGGCGTGGTTTCGAATCCCCGCTTGTACGTGGCAAGGAGAAGGGTCGCCTGTCCAGCCTCATGGGTTTTCTCCGGGTCCTCCGGTTTCCTCCCATCGTTAAATACGCGGTTGAGTATTATTAAAATAAAATTGAACAATATGTCAGTTTCGAAATGACCTAGTTTGTGTCGAGTGAACGTTACCCCCCCCCCCCCTCTCTCTCTCTCTCTCTCTCCGTCTCTCTCTCTCTTCTCTCTCTCTCTCTCTCATTTCTTATAAATGAATTAATATGAAATATATTGTCTTTATATCTTTCACTGCCAATCAGGCTATATTATAATACACTATGAACACACCAGCAGTACACATTAAAGTAACGTCTATTTTATATAATAAATTCGTGGTTTTTATTTATAAGTCAGCTACTAAACGTCTCGCCAACACTTAAACCGCTTTAACCGACCAAGCGATTTGTTGAATATATTTAAAAAAAATATTGCAAACATTAAAGTCGGTCAAGTACGTCGTTACACAGGTAAACCGGAAAATTTTGTGGATTTTGAAGTTTTAAAGTAGCTAAGTCTTTTAACTCAGTATCAACTAGGGCTTACAGTCTTCGACATTGAAAATACGAATTATTTGTCAATTTGAATCAACATTGATGGTGTGATCTTACCGGGAAATGATGGGCTCCTGATATCCAAAATACACATTTTACCATTTTACCACAATGCGTTTCAGCACCATTTGTATCAAGGGACTCGAAGAACGAGGCTAGACATATGCCACAAGTCATGTCAACGGTGACGCCATATTCTTATTTGGAGAGCATGCGCAATACATACTACTGGAATAACCAGACGCTAGAGATTGCCATTCGATTAGGACTTCTCGCGTATTTCGCCGAACGGAACTGATTTGAAATTGAACGAGTTTACGTACATTCATATTTGTGTCAATTTCTAGGTCTCAAATATTAGTGATTTAGCTTCTTTAATGGTACACCCGGGAAAAATTGGTGTTTGTTAAACATGACAAAATGTCCTGCACTAATGGACTAAAAGATGACATTTTGAACTTCGGAGATGTATTAATAATATCAATAAACTTTGTATTGTAAATAATCATTAGAAATAATGATACAAAACATATCTGTGCTAGACAAAATTACTGACATGAAATAAAATAAAATGGTGTTTAACGTCCTACTGCTCTGTTTCAACAGGTCTAATGAAAACGGGAAATTTTGCCCGGACAGGATCTTTTAGGTGCATGCCAATGTGTACACGGGACCTCGGTTTTTCGTCCCGCCCGAACGACTAGACAGCTGTCTTTGTCAGGCCCTTCGTCCTGCACCACTGACAAGGGGAAACCACGCCGGAAAATCCCGACGAATTTCTCGGCCAACACCGGGAAGGAAACCGCGACCTCCAGACTAGCGAGCCAGCGTCTTACTCAAAATGACTGACTCCAGAGGGATTGCGCTTATTGATAGAATCTGAATTTGTCCCTGACTATCTCTGTGACGGGTACGGTTTTTCCAGGCACCAGTAACATACAAACAAATGAAGGGCACCAGGGGGGTTGCACCTGAAAAAGCCGGAAATGATGCCTGACAAGGTCTTTGACGATTGTCTTATTGCCAGGCACAATTCCTTTGATTTTAAAAAAAAGTGACTAGTACAAATCTTGAGATTACGTCTGATGAACCCTGAATTTGTGCCTGACAAGGTGGTCTGTGATGGGTGCCTGAAAAAGACCTAATTGGTGCCTGACAATGTCATTGAAGGGTGCCTAAAAAAGACCAAATTGGTGCCAGACGATTTCAGTGAAGGGTTTCTGAAAACGGCCTAATTTGTGCCTGACAATATCAGTTAAGGGTGCCTGAAAAAGACCTAATTTGTACCTGACAATGTCAGTGAAGGGTGCCTGAAAAAGACCTAATCTGTACCTGACAATGTCAGTGAAGGGTGCCTGAAGGGTGCCACTTAAAGATTATTGTGCCTGAAAAAGACTGAATGGGTGCCTGACCTGTGTCGGGTGCCTGAAAAAGGACTAATTTGTACCTGACAAGGTCTGTGACGGGTTAACTGACAAGATCTCCAGGTGAAAGAAAAATATAATAATGTTCTTACCTGTAATCACGATGGTTTTTCCTGTCATTTTGTTTTTACTGGAGCAGTCGACAGACCATCTGATGTACAAACGACTTAAAAATATTCCCAAAATAATCAATGACACCACCACGGTGCCAACTAACGCGGGAAAAACATCATCCACGACCACCTCCAATTCCTCAATATTCTCATCCACTTCATCGATCTTCAGATTTTTTAAATGCTTTAAGTGTTTCGTCGTAGACATTTTTTGACAGTTTATAGACTGTTATTCGTACCTTTTTAATACTATATGACACCTTTAAACACACGAGGTGTGTATATAAAATATAGTTATATACTGTGATAATTTATCTCTAGTTTATAGGTATATATATAAGCCTAGTATACACTATAATAGCATATTGTTTTGTCAGGTATAAGCTTTGAACAATACGAGTGAGAGAGAGAGAGACAGATAAACAAACGGAAAGCGGCAGAGATGGTATACGGAGTGATACCAATAGTCCAATAAGCGCCACGCCAACCGATTGCCGGCTCCCAACGAAAGATGTTCTTTAAAGCCGAAGCAGAGATTAATATGATAGGTACCTAGAAATGGAATTCTCGTATCGTCTGGTCACGTGATCTCGCTTGACACCCATCTAGATATATTCATCCTCCTTGTTTAATATATACATATATATATACATATATCTTTTAACCTATGTAATACGTATGTATATATTGTATATATATATATATATATACTACGATAAGCACAAGATACATCTCTGTCGACTTCAACTTAAATCCCCGATCGTTACAAATTCTGTTTTAAGAAAATCGTAAAAACAACCCCCCGGTGTTAATTGTTTTGTGTATATTTGCCCTCTGCCTTTAATTAAGTTGTTAATATTTGTTGGGGAGATAAGGCGTTATCTATACCCTACTAGATACAGTCAACTAAACTATTTTATACATTTTACACATTTTTAAAATAAAAAAAAAGCATCACTACTGCATATTTTAGAGGAGGTCTGGTTTCACAAGTTTACACTTAAATAAACATTAGAGGGTTTTTTTCGACGATTATTTCACCTCGCGGTAAATTTATACGTACCTAATATGTGGAATATGTTAAAGGGACACGCCCAACATATTAACAGTTAACAGTCATCTTTTTATCAAGATCAAGAGAGAGAGAGAGAGAGAGAGAGAGAGAGAGGGGCAAAAATGAGGTTTAACGTCCACTCGACACAGACTAGGTCATTTTGGGACTAACATTTGGCTCAAATTTACATCAGTAAATCGGTAATTTTTCCAGGACAGCCGCGTTTTCACCTATTGTTCGTCGAATTTCAAGGGTTCTTTTCAGTGTACGTTGATGTATATACTGATGAACCTCGATTTTTGGTCCCATCCGAACGAATGGTTACTACTTTACATGTCAGCCCCATAGGCGCTACCCTTGACAAGCGGGAGCCGGGTTAAAAAAATCTCAACGTTTTTCTCGGTCCATGATGGGATTCGAATCCTCTTTACTCTAACTGAACACCGACTGGACTCATTTCAACTGAACGCCCTGGTCATTTGAACCGAGCGCTCTAGTCATTTCAAATTAACGCCCTGGTCATTTCAACTGAACGCCCTATGGTCATTTCAACTGAACGCCCTGGTCATTTCAACCGAGCACGGTAGTCATTTTAAATTAACGCCCTGGTCATTTCAACTGAACGCCCAAGTTATTTCAAATTAACGCCCTGGTCATTTCAACTGAACGCCCTGGCCATTTCAACTGAACTCCCTGTTCATTTCAACTGAACGCCCTGACCAGTTCAACTGAACGCCCGGGTCATTTCAACTGAACGCCCTGGTCATTTCAACTGAACGCCCGGGTAATTTCAACCGAACGCCCTGGTCATTTTCCTCGTTACCCTTGCTTAGTGTATTTACTTTGCGTGGATTTGTGGCGTGTGGCGGGGCTTTTTGCCTTTTTTTTAAAGTGGGGTTTAATGTCCTACTTTTCTGCACCAACCGGGATAATGAAGGCGGTCTTTATACCTAATCGCTTAGTTTTGTCCATCTTGTCCCAGTCGCGTTATGGTGGGGGTCATGCCTGGTTCGTTTTTAAATATTGTCGGTGATATCATCCAGTGTTGAATGGCCATTAAAGGAGCTAAATCGCATATTTCGAACCTAGAAATTGACATAAATAGGTCGCAACGCATATAATAATGTAATATGAATATATTAACTGATTTACATTCTAATTTCAAAACAATTATGTTCGGCGAAAAACGCCAGAAGTCTCAATCGAATGGAAATCTCTAGCGTCTGGTTAATCGAGTCTTCACTGATAGTATTCATTGCGCAGGCTCTCCGTATAAGAATATGAAGTCACCGTTTGACATGTCTTGTGGAATATGTCTAGCCTCATCTTTCAAGTCCCTTGTTACAAATGACGCTGAAACGCATTATGGTACACGATTCGTGGACAAGACATGGACATTTAAAGTCTCAATGTGCCATTTTAAGCAACAGGAGTCTCCCCAGGCTACAATATTGTGAAAGACGAATCTCTAATAAAAATATCAATCTAATAATGGTTGAATTCCGTTCAGTATTAAAATAGATATGTGAAACGGAAATTTCATCGAACTATGCTGCTCACTATGCAATAAGCCAGCCGCCATTTTGTTATCCACGAAAATTCAATGATAGGCCCATTTTAAATCCGATTAAATCCATGCCAAGACATTATCTAGAGTTGTTTTTTTCGATGCTGTTTTCTTAATTAAATGTTAAATAATCAATCTGAGTGTATATTAAGTTGTGAGAATTTTGATATTTTAGCGACAAATGCCGATAGCGCATCGTCACTTTAAAACTGCCCCGTTATCAACCACCTCTTTAAACAGCTAATCTCTTTATTGTGTTGGGTCAATAACAGCGACACGGTAGTTGTTAAAAGTTACAACAGTTGATTACACACACATATTGAAGGATTATCTCGAGTATATTAAGTTTTATTTACAGATTTATTGTGATTACACGTATACAAATATGGGTTATCACATAGTTAGAGAGAGAGAGAAAGAGAGAGAGAGGGGTTTAACGTCCACTCATCACAAACTAAGTCATTTTGGGACTAATACATAGTTAAATTTTATTTTAATAATTGGCTTGCGCGTAGGGGTCTTTAGCAGAGGGAGGAAACCGGAGGATCCGGAGAAAACCCACGAGGTTGGACAGGCGACCCTACTCATCGTCACGTACAACCGGGGAATCCAGATCATGACAAAGTTTGTCTTTAGTTGTTCCGGTTTTTCAGGAGAGCCACGTAGGCTCAGGGTGTAAGACGCTGGCTCGTCGGCCGGCAGGTCTGGGGTTCGCTTCCGATGTTGGTCGAGAAAATTCCTGACAAAGACATCTATCTAGTCGTTCGGATGGGACAAAAAACCTAGATTACACACACATATTAAAGGATTTACGCGAGACTATTATGTCTTCTTTACAGATTAAACCCCGCGTGTAGGGTTTTTTAGCTGTAGAAAGAAACCGGGGGACCCAGAGAAAACCCACGAGGTTGGGCAGGACAGGTTTAACAATTCTGCACTCACCGGACTAATGATAAAAGAGAGGAGGGGAGATAATTTAATAAATGTTTAAACTGGATACTCGACTATGTTTTATAGAAATGAAATGGGGTTTAATGCTCCAACTGGGCTAATGAAGACGGGCAATCACCATAAAGTATGCTATGAGGGAAATTTTGCCCGGGCAGGTGTCCTTGTCGGGCCTGCATCACTGACAAGGAGGAAATATATAGAAGATAACAATTGTTATAGACACTTAACTGTCTTTTAGAATGAATAATTATTTATAGAAGAAGACAAGGGGTTAAAGTACTGTTATCTTTGATGATTTATAACTAGTGTTACGGTCAGAAAAGGGATTAAGTTGTTTTTCTCACAAACGTAGCTGTACCGTAAATCAAAAGGATCTAACAATATTCTTGATATATTAAAATATAAATGTGTGGTTATGAATCTCAAAAACAAAGTGGTTAATAAATTTAATAAAAAGAGGAGGTGAAATGGGTGACCCTTGGTTACTACCCTATTAAATCAGTCATTATGACAATGTACTACGTATTTTATATGACATCTATATTATATTATAAACAGGAATTTATTTCGGTATAATTCCCATCCATAATAACTTTGTTTATATGAAGATATTTCCTTCTGCTCGACACAAACTAGGTCATTTCGGGACTAACATATGGTTCAATTATAATTCAATAATTCGTATGCGCGTAGGGTCTTTAGCAGTTGGAGGGAACCGGGCGATTATAAAGAGAAACTATATCGCGGTCTGTAACTCGGCGTGTTAAATTTATATAATATAGTAAGCCTATATTATTATAAGCGATACCCGCTGCATTGGCCGAAAAAGTTCATCCAGATTTTCGGCGTGGTTTCCCCTTGTCAGTGATGCAGGACGGAGGGCCTCACAAGGACAGCTGTCTAGTCGTTCGGATGGGACGAAAAACGGGGGCCCCGTGTACATATTGGCGTGCACGTAAAAGATCTCTTGGCAGCTGGAATTCGTTATAAGAGTAGACCGTAGTGCCGCTGTCCTGGCAAAAATTCCCTCATAGCACACTGTATGGCGTATGCCCGTCTTCATTAGCCCAGTTTAGGAGCAGAACAGTAGGACGTTAAACCCCATTTAATTTCATTTATAAGCGATACCATTGAGAGAGAGAGAGAGAGAGAGAGAGAGAGAGAGAGAGAGAGAGAGAGAATTTTGTATAGTGGTAAGTATAGATAGCTATATTATGTGTTAGAGTTATTAAATATATCTATATGATAACAAAGACTATTGTATTATTGAATCAGTTGATGGTCTTTGTCCCGAGATTATCTGATATCGCATTACCGGTAGATATTTGTGTTGTGTAATGGGAGCAGGGGCGTTGTATCAGAAGTTCTGTCATTGAGTCAACTGACGTGGTTTCGATTCTCCGGTTGTACGTGACAAGGAGTAGGGTCGCCTGCACAATCTCGTGGGTTTTCTCCGGGTCCTCCGGTTTCCTGCCACTGCTCAAGACCCCTACGGGCAAACGAATTATTGAAATGAAATTGATCAATATCCCACAAGGGAAAACTACAAGAGTAGACTGGAATAACCAGACGCCAAATTTGCAGTCTTCTCGTATTTCGCCGAACATAACTGATTAGAAATTATAATCAGTTTATATACCTTATTAAATGCGTTGCGATCCATTTGTGTCAATTTCTAGGTCCCGAATATTAGCGATTTAGATCCTTTAAGTGGCATCCTGTGGCATTAAGTGGCATTTAGTATTGGGTCACGTTAAATAAACAACCAATCTGATTAAAACACAGATTCTATTTCGTTCCGTTTTTTATAGTTCAAAATTTTGTTTTACATGTCTTTACTACACTAGGAGCTGGAAGAGTTCATAATTATATAACCCGCTTTCTGGATGATGTGAGAGATTAGCCAATGAAACGGTCTGTTACGGGTAACCCACTAGAAACAGCAACGCTAATTGGTTAATCAAATGTCTGACGCGAT